GAAAAAAAACCCAGAAAAATAAAAACTAGAAATACAGATCAAAAATATAGATCAGTAGGGCAGGACCAGGAAGCAAATCACAGTATGCAGGTTATGGCATTTTCCTGGAACAGACCTCACTGCAAGGCAAGATTTTAAGAAATTTATCTAAAAATTTTAACAGCTAAATCTAGAAAAGTGAGGAAAGAGGCAGGCCGAGGCAACATCTTCTAGAAAGTGACTGAATCTTTGCTAAAGCCCCAGCAAGACAAGGTGTCCCAAGAGTTACAGAAAAGCCGACCCAACAGTGTCCCCTGGGTGCCAGGCAGGGCAGGGCCCAGCAATAAGATCCAGGGAAGAAAGGAGCAGAGAGGGGGCCCTGCAGGACAGGGCAGAAAGTTCAGCTGACCAAACCAGGAGACAGGGCTGCCCTTGGAGACAGGTACCCTCTGCCTTCACTAAAGAAGTCTTCATGTTAATATTGGCATTGCATTTTGCTGTTTCTAAATGCAGAACAGTGTTATGGCACATTGGAATCTCCCGTTCCCAGTGGATCCTTGCCACAGCTGAAACTGTTTAAGCCTCGAAACCAAACCCATGGGTGAGCAGCAGCCTGGCAAACACGTGAGCTGGACACACAGCCACGTCTTTGTGTTTTACGAGGTTGGTCCCAACTATTTTAAACACATAAATGTATTTCAATTTCACTTTAGGCTTTTTCCTTCGGATCAGCTATTACTTTCTGCTAGACATCATTTCCCTTGTTGTTAGGCACCAATTCCCTACAGGAATACTGCACATTTTGCCTGGAGACTCCACACACCCACACTATAGAGCATGGGCATGCAGAGCTGCCACCTTCTTGGTGCTCAACCTGCGAGAGAAGAGATAGAGAAAGAGCAAGGGAACAGGCGAGATGGGCTCTGGTGGCAGCAGCTGATGCCAGCCAGCGGTTTTGGGCTGGATGGGCTCAGCGGTGCTCCGAGGACACCTTGTCTGCACCAGCATCCTCCTGGATAAGGCTTTGTCACTTAGGAACTCACACAATCCTGAAAGAAGCTCCTCATTGCTGGGCACACTCACCCATGCGGCCCCTTTGGCTGCTACAATCTGATGCACAGGGTGTAGGTGGAAGCGGGGAGGAGCCCGTCTGTCTGCACTGGAAATATAATTTGCATGCGTTTCAGGCAACGACACAAAATATCAAATTAAAACCAAAGAACTGAATTTTAAACATGCGTCAACTCCAGCCTACATTCTTTTTGCAACACAAGAACTCATTTATTACCATCATTATCTAAGCCTGGCAGGCATGAAAGCTCCCTCCCAAACCACACCAACCATTAACCGAAATAACTGGTCAGCTCACGCTAGCACGAAATATCCAAGACAGACTTGACTACGAACCACAGGCACCTCGTGGGTTGTTACTCAGATCTGCCTTTTCAGAGGTGTTTTATCACAACAAGCGTCACAGCGTTTTTTTCCCATGGAAACAGCTGCAGTTTCACCTCTCTGTTAGGCAGCAAGATACTGCTTGTATCTTGTAAACAGAAAGACAGTGAGAACCCAGGAATCCAGAGCTGGTGGTTATTTTTTTTACTTGAAGAATCTCTGACAAACATTAAAAAAAAAAGTATTGTTACAGTTAATTCATTCCTTCTGGAATGGAATTGGACATGCTTGTTCGAGGTCATGATATGAGAAGGACAGTCTGATTTGTACAAACTGATATTCAAGCATTATCAACACACACAAAGGACAGGCTCTTACGCACGTTTGTTACATTGCAACCTCAGACCCACTTCGGTAAACATCTTTGGATGAAATAAGCAACTCGGATATTCAGAGGACAAAACCATAGCATCATTTAAAACATGAACAGTAAAACTTAAAGACATCAGCAAACGCAGGTTCTCTATGGATAATCAAAACAGTATTTGCATAAGTTACAATAATCACAATAATCTGCAACACAAAGGCTGGATTCCAGCAACTCGAACACTTATGACTAAGAGGCAGTTTTTGAATTTATTTGACTACTTGCCTAAGGCAGGGAGGCAGTGAGAAAAGGTAGGAGTGCAGAAGGCAGAGGCAAGGTAGATTAGTGCTAGAATTTCTTGTTAGACCAGGAAGCTAACAGGAAAGCAGCAAGGAAAAAGGTTGTGTTTGTTCTTTTAAACCTAAAAGAAGTGTTAGCCAGAAGTTATCAGTACGTACTTTCTATATTGCACAGTTTTTAAATAACTAAAAAATTATAAAACCCTAAAAAAAAAATCTGGATTTGTTACAGCTACATTTAAACATATTCCAAGCTTAGTTACCCCATACATTTCCAATTTTAAAAAAAATTCAACACTTTTCCCTATTGACATCACACAGCATTTCTGTGTTAGCTCCTCCAAGCCCCTCCCGACTAACAAAATACACCATTTACCAAAGGCAATGCTACTGCTTCTCCTTAATAAATCACAGAATTATTGCTTTATTTTACTAGTGGCAAAGGCTAAGAACTACACTTTTAGAGAATTTAAGGCAAACCCACAAGACCCAACACCTTAAGGGCATTTATGGTACACACTTCTATTCATTCACACACTCAGGAGAAGTTATTTCAAGCACTGCAGTCATATATTCTAAACACATAACCCAGGGATTTACTTTATTTTATTTTTTGCCTGGGATAAGTCATTCCCGAGCACCAAAGTTCAGAGAGAATAGGGAAGGGAAAAAAAAGTGACAAGAAGTTCAAGGCCATCTTATTAAAACTTATTTTTGCTCATCTAAAAAAATTTTTGGAACAATTGATCAGGTATTTGGAAAGCACTTTTTTTCCCATCATAATGTGCAGGTGGAATTATGATCCATCAGATAAATATAAACTACGTATTTGCAGAAAAAAGAAATAGGTAAAGACAAGATTTCAACAACAAAAAATACCCTTAACAGCATTAGACAAACTGTTTCGCCTACAAGAACTGTGAATAGTTTTTTTTCTTAATAATTTATACCCCAGGAAGTTCATTACTAGCTCCTTGTCTGCCAGTCTGCTGCCTTAATAACCCCATCTGGCTGCCACGCTGTGGAGAAAATGATATCAAGGGCACTCTCTGCTCAGTCTCAATGACTTGCAATCAAGTTTGCTATTGACACAGATTTGTCAGCTGCTGCCAGGCCTCCAAGCCCACAGAGATGAAAGCTGCAAAAAGACCAGCAAGAACCGGCCTGCTGGGAAGCATCCTCATCACTAAACTAACCTTTCACTTCCATCTGCTTCAGATATTAACTGATGGGATACGGAAATTCAAGGAGTGCAAGATGCAGTGATCCAAAATTATATACAGTCTTTAATTCTACACAGAGGAAAAAAGAGAAAACATTAAACATCTTTTTTTAAAATAAAAAGATGATTAGTGTATGCTGTTTTAAAATGATTTTGTGAAAATAGAAAAGATGACATTCTGTTAGGGGGGAAAAATGGTTCAAGTTGAGAGCAGGTCCAACCTGGTTGGATTTTTAGGAAGATTTGGTTAAGCCTAAGTTACTGATGATGTATGAACAATAAGCAGAGTTCTCCTGCTGCACAGCAGGATCCAGGGGTAGGATTCCCACTCAACAGAAGTGCACCCCGTGTGTAAACTAACCCTGTTGGAATCAGTCACCGCAACTTGCTACTTGTTATCTTGAGTTACTTCACCAAGAAGCAGAGGTTTCTGTGGTCTTCAGAAGAGGGCAAGAGGCTCCTGCTTGTGGTCTAAAAGCAGAGGTCTCCAGGCAAGGTGCAAGAGGAGCCTTTCAGAAGGGAACTCCTGCTCCTCCGAATAAAGGGAGTAATAAGCTCATTACAGAAATATCATAGCAATCTAATTATGAAAAAGTTACACTTATTTTAGGTGGTTGTCTATATTGGAGATGACTCCTTCAATTGACAGTTAAGGTTTCAAAAAGATGAGAGAAATGCCTCGAAGAAACATGCTTCTGATTACTTCAAGGGAACTTGATTCTGTGCTGGTCAGAGTGAGTTTATTCCTCTGAAGAGGAAGATCATTTCCCAAAGGAGATTTGGGGTATTCTTGAGCTTGTGTTTTAGCTCCTCTGGATGGGTTCTCCCTGCCACTTGTCTGTGCTCTAGCAGCAAACATTGACATCTTACCTGTCACCTGCAGCGGGCACACAGTATTTAAAAGAGCAGAAGACTCGTGTGCCAAACTAGTGACATTGACCTGAGCATTCCCTTAAAAATTGCAGCGGGGCTGAAAACGCTGCTGCACTGGTAGAGTTTTGACATCCTTTTTTTTCATTATGAGTTAATTTCTGGTCAAAGAGAAAACACACTGAGGAGTGGGTCAGGAGTGTAGGCTATTTCTATTGGCAGGCAGTTTCGTCTGCCTTCTTGCTCTCTTCAGAAGCCCATGGTAATTTGTCTCAAATATATCCAAAAAGTAAACACTCAGAAGCTTGCACGTAGAAATCAAAAATACTCTTTCCTCAAATACATGAAGGCAGCTGGAAATTACTTTGTCAATACTAAGCATTTTACATGGTACCTCTGATCTTTCACATCCACAGCAAGCAGAGTAAGCAGGCTGCTAAACCATGAATAATGTCATATTCTGCTGCTGCTTTTCTGACTTCAAGGCAAAACACAGAAATCAAGTCATTGAATCATACCTTTTCCTCCAAACTGGAAAGACAGAGCTCTGATTTTAACTCATAATGAAGTTGGCTTGAAAAGTCTGGAGAGCAGGGGAAAAGAATGCAGAACAGACCAATACAAGTATTTTACAAAATGCATCTTCATTCTAGTAAAAGGAAAATCTTTCTTGCTAATGTTGATTCAACATTAGCAGTTGCTACTTAGTTTTGAAGATAATCAGCATATTCCACCTTGGTCCCAATAAGCTACAAAATGAAGGGTAATCTCTAGTAAGAGATGTAGGTGAAGGAAGATTGGATTTTTTTTCAGCACTTACTGTCACAGCAGAAGAACCAGATCATTTATAGCATTTTTTTGTCACATAAAAAGTCTGTAGAAGGTCCCATAACTGAAGGAATTTTTCCCCTCAGCATTTTATCAGAGCACAACTAGATAAGATTTATACTGAGAAACTTTTCTGAATACTTTAAAAGCAAACAAGTTAGTGCATTTTCCTTCCTAACATTCCCTAATGCAACAAGTACACTGGCTTATATTCTTTAAAACAACTACAGAACAAGTCATTCAAAAAGCCACGCAAATTATTTCTTGGCACTTCTCTGCACACTGGCAGGAGAAGTTCCAGCCATTTGCAACAGCATGTTTTAGTTCTGGATACCTGATGCCAAAGATATTTTCAGTATATCTTTTTTTTCTGAACTAGTGAAATGCATCAATATTATCATGACAGGAGTCACTGCTCTTCAAGCTGAAGGATTTGATACATTCAACTCCTTTTGAGTTAGTGACTCACAAACAGTAATCCTGCATGCAAATAAAACTAGGATTTATCCATTGTAGCAGCAGGGTTCACTGGGCGCTGTCTTACGGCATTCGTTGAAGAGCTTCTGTTGGACACCTCTTTTTCCTCTGTTTCATCATCTGAAATATCTTCCTCATCTGCTTCCTGCTCTTCATCCAGCTTTTTCAATAGATGAGCTGACTCTGGCGACAATTTTTCTTAAGGGGAAAAGAAAACAAGTAGACACACAAATAAAAAAAAGTCTTCCTGTGAAATACACTTAAAAAAAATTACAGACCAGATCAGAATCTGTACAAACTTAAGCCAGGTAATATTTTCAGATAACAGTCACTTAGAATACTGCACAAGCAGAAACTTCTACACTGGATTTCCTATCCTGACTACCTTATGACACAAGTTACAAATTAATTTTTATTATACAGATTTATCAAAAGCCTTCAATGAATTTGAATGACAAGTGGACAACTACACAGTGGACTTACTCGAATGAGGGTATTGTTGTTGTCTGTGCCTTTTGGATGGACAGAGGCAGTCTGCTAGGAACACCATGAGCTGAAACCCAAGACAGATAGATTTAAACCTCTAAATATTCTGTTCATCAGGGTAATACAGCAGTCACACGATAATCTATTTCGACGGGTTTACTTACAAGTCCCAGTATCAGTCCTGAGAAGAGAGTTGCCAGTGCAAAAATGGCATATGAACCCCAAACTGGTATTCCAACATTTTCTGTCAAATAATTATGGCAGTGCTAGAATAAAAGACATGAGAATCACTTCATGAATAGCTAAATATCATGTCTGTTACAGGAAAACAAAGTTCAAATCTAAGCACATACCCTGATCCACATTGACAACTGAAATAAAGCAGACATACTGCTCATCCTGAAACAAAGCAGAAAAGAGGAACTGAAAATGTCTTTCTTTTAAGCCAGTCACAAATCTGTTACAATTTGCCTGGCTAGTCATTGTTTACATTCACACTGAAGAACTTTCCACTCTTGCCAGGTTTCCCTTCTAACCACTTTGCTTTTTTAATGTTATGTCTTTTACTGAGTAAATGCACACTTTCCACGAAGTAACCTTTAGTACCAATGTCAGGTTTATTTATCATACAGTATTTCAAACAGCCAATTACCTACTCCAAAATATCTTCAACTTGTACCTGCTGACATATAAATTTCAGTGACTTCTATGTTCTAAATTATACTTGGGACAGCCTATGAGAAGCAGCTGGAACTCTGTTTAAGAAATTAAGACTTAGGCATCTGGATGTTATATTTAAAATAGAGGGATTCCTTGTTTTTCACATAGGTCAACAAAACTGGGCTAACTGCCATACGCAGTCTGCCAGTTCTGATATTTCACTGCAGGAAAACTTGTAAAGAGTTCTTTTTTACCATAAAGGAAATAATTTGAAATATTAAGCTAGATTAAGTGCCTAATAGATTAGTCACAGTGGCAGGCAGTTGTGAACACAGGCATACAAAATCTTTCACTAAGCACAAATGCATGCGGGTTTCTGTACACTTCCAATAGAAAACTTATTAATCTTAAAATTAGTGCTCCTGCTCATGAATTCCTCCCTGTGGGCCAATACGTTATGTCCGATCATATAGAGTCAAGATTCAGATGGTGTTAAAAGTACCCAGGGTAGCAATGTCGAGCTGCCCAGAGCGGCCACAGAATTGCCTGCAGAAAATGGGCAATTTCAGTCCAGAGCAAGAGTTCCTGAACTGAACACCTGCACGCCAGCCTAATGCCCCTCAGCTGGGAAATGAAACAGTGAACAACTGCGTTCACTTCCCTCAAGCAGCGGTGTCCCCGGTGTCCGTCACCACTCCCAGCCACTTAACTCCTGGAATCACTTATTTCTGCCCACTCCACAGCATATGCAGCAGTAACTAAAAGCACTTCATAGTCCCCAAACCAAAGGATATTCCAGAGAGCATTTTCACAGCCCCCAAACCAAGGGGTATTCCAGAGTGCATCTTCTAGGACTACAGGGTATCACCACTTCACTACCCCAACCTTCAATCCCCCCCGCACTGCTTTTAACTTTACTGCAGACATCAGGGCTTTCTTAAATAACTAGCCCCTAATAGTTGCTACATTATTTTCAAGTTTTTATTCACTAACTTCCTGGAACTGAGTTGGGTAAAGGAGCTCAGTGCTGTACAATCAAAGCAAGAACTTCAAGCATCAATAAGCTACTGAAAACAGTTTAGTAAAACAAAACCTCAAGCTACGCTTCTGGAACCTTACAGCAAACCGTGCTCGGGACCCCTTGGCTAAGCTGGCATGCGCCAACATCTCCCAGCTGAGGAACAAGTTGCTAACGAGCTCGGCCCAATATCCACCACTGCTTCCGCGTGCACCACCCGAGTGACACTCGAGGGATGTGTCTGGGCACATCCTCCAAGCGGGTACGTTCGGACACGGGTTTTTGTAAGAATCATACCAAGACTTACAGAAAAGAGGAAGGGCCGAACCACGATGAAACAGGCTCAATGGACTTCCATTCCTGATCACTGATGAAATTTATGAAATCAGTTTTCGTTCTGGCGCCCTGGTATCTCCTAAACTCTCCATCTTTACAACTGCAAAATGAAAAAAAAAAAAGTTTTAGTCAAAGCAGGTAAAATTTGCTTCCATTCGCAAACTTATTTCCTCCCTTCATTTTGCCTATTCCTGTTATATTTTTGCTTTAGATGCTACTGTTTCTGGAAAGTTTTCTGAGCATCTTGACTCCCAGTATAACACAGTGCATCTTTGCTAGCTTCAGGTTGTCATCCTATGGAAAGATAGTGATCATCTTAATACAGTTGCCACACAACAGCCTACAGAGAAAAGATTGCAAAACAGAAACACCCATGAAGGGATGAAATAAACGAGGCTTGAAGGGAAAAGACATTGTAAAGTGAGATAAGAAAATGAGAAAATGTTCACCCCGTGCAACATTACTCACATTCTCACAGAGCTTGATAAATCTCACTCACTTGTACCAAAAAAGGAAGGCGATATTTTCTCTCTGAGAAAGACTACCACACTCAGTACTTACTGATAGATGGTAGGAAGCGCCGTTATGATAAATCGCCCACTTAATCCTGTAAGAAAACAGATATTTTCAGAATAGAGCTGCAACCCAATGTAAGAAAAAAAACCCTATTTTTTTCTTATACATCTTAAAGTTCATAAGAATGACTGCTTCCAGCTATCAGTCTTTAATTCTGATCACACACAAACTTGTACATATCTACAAGATAGAGCACAGTTCAAAAGCAACATCCCAGGATAAGGGGAGAAAAAATAACTCTGTGGAAGAGGGGATGTTTGCGGCTAACAACCATTGAACTTGACTATTTTGGCCTTAGCTCTTCAGAGAAAGAGGCTCTCTCTTCCACACGTTCTGTAACCTCCAGTACTTGCAGACAATAATCCAGGTACAACAAATTTTCAAAAGCTCTAATGTGAATTTGGAAAGAAGTACCAACTCCAGGGTTATTTTTACAAGCTTGGACAAGATGTGGGTTGTTTTGCTTTGTTCTCCCCCCTCATATTCCACAGAAACATGAGGGAAGCCAACAGAAGGCAGGTTCAGTCCCGAGAGCCCAAACTCCTTGTGTTCACTCTCCATTAGCCAAGGGAGTTGCTGATAAAAGGCAGGACCAGATAATCAAAACCAGATTCTCCTTCTTTTTAAGCCTTAGAAGTTAAGACCAAACACCTCCTTAAAGTCCTCCAACCCAACACACTCTCTAGAAAAACCTCTATGTATTAAGAAAAAAAACAGAGCACTTAGCCCACACAGAGCAACCTGCCCTCATCAGAACTCATGTATTATTCTGAATCAAAAAAAAAATACAGAGAATACCTTCAAAGAAGCATATTTATGGAAGCTTTGCCTAAGCACCAAAACCAGCACGGGGCGGGGGATGTTATAAACGTCCCGGCGGCTCCTCTCACCTGGCTGCTCGGTCACATCCACTTTGGCGATGTTCACCTCCAGATCCTCTCCCCACTCGGCGAACTTCTCCCACTCGGGCTGCAGGCTCTGGCAGGCGGGGCACCAGGGCGCATAGCTGGGGGCACAAGGGAGATGTCACT